TTGAGACCCCAACAAATATTTTTTAATTATAGAAAAATTATTCAAATAAATTATCTAAATCAAAACTAATTATCTTTATTGATAGTAAGCATTTAAAAATTAAGTTTCAATTAAAATGGATTAAGACTACAAGAGTTTAAAATTTTATTTCATTTTAAAAGGAAAAATATCTTTAATTTATTACAGTGTATTAAGATTTAAATTTAAAATTAAAATTAATTGAAAATCAATTTAACAAATAATATTTAAAAAATAAATAAATGTTCAATACAAGAAAAGGTATATAATTTAGTATAGATAATAATAGATACAAAAGATAATATAATAAAAAGTATAGAGCTGGATTAAAATAAAAAAAAATGAATTAGAATAATTTAGTAAATAGCTAGTTAAGTTACTCTACTAATGCAATACTCAAGTTCTTTTAATATTTAATATGAAAGGATGACTACATGAACCATTATAATTGGTTTCAGTGTTGAAATTGTTAAACATATTATTAATTTGATTAATTAGTGAGGTCTTCGCAGAAGATTTGGTTCTTTAACCCTTTCTTTGCGTCTTAATCTCTTATGCAAAAGGTGAAGTTGGACTAAGTCATCCATAAGAATTAGAAAGGTTTGAAAAAAGGCAATAACATCAAAGTTGAAACTCACCAAAGTCACTCGTTTTCTCACGGTGGTGCCACTCAGAAAACAAAGACGTGACGTGACGTGTGAAGGTATCCTCAAAGTTCCACAAACAAATAATTGATCTAAGCTGTAATAATATATCAAAGTCATACCGCGTTGATGATTGGCTGTCACTTGTTGACCCTCCATTTTCTTAATCACTTCTAGCGGGACTCTCAAATATTCAACTAAGATATAATAATTTAAAATATAACTAAATTTTAATTGATTTTACAGCATTTAATGAAATATTTTTTATAATACTTTTATTAATTCAAGTTTTATAATAATTTAAATTATTTATCAAAATTTAATTTTTTTTAAAATACTAAATGGCTACTTAATTTTCATAACTTTTGACATTAGTATAGGAAGTTAAACAATCAACTAATGACATTTAATATTAATAAAAAAAATCAAATCATCCTGACATATTAAAGAATATAATTCATTTATTTATAAAATTAAGAACATTAAATGAAATAACTTAGTTGTTTTAATTAAAATAATTTAGTTATTTTTTATATATTTAAAATTAGTGAGAGTAACTTTATAATGACTATATTTATTCATTTAAATTTTTCAAATTTTTTTTTGTTGTATAATCTTTAATTCTACAAGGTAAAATACCTTCAATTTTAATTTTTTAATAAAAGTAGTTAAGAAATGCTTTTATGACAACAAAAGCTACATGAATTTTTCGATAGATTTAATAGTTTAAGCCTTTCAATATCACAAATTTAGGTACTGATGATATTATTAGATTTAATTTTTTAGTTTTTTAAATTAAAGCTAATTTTAAATTATTTTGTAGTTTTTATTTTTAAATTTAATATCAAATTTTAAATTTAAATCTCATAAATTACTTTTACTTATTCATTTAAGTTTATTTGATAATAGGGTGATGATGGTAGTAGGTGGATAAGAGAAAGAGTAAAATATAATAATAGTAGTAAACTTGTGGCAATTAAAATAATACTAATATCCATGGTGATGATAAAAATATTAATGATAATAACAAAGATAATAATAATAATGACAGTAGTACTAATAATTATTGTAAAGGTAGTAATTGTAACATTCCTATTTTTATATCACTTATAATTGCATGATTATGTTAAATTTTCATATGATTGAATATTGGAAAAGTTTTGAAGTAGTGGAACTGTGAAGTTTTCGTTATAGCGAGATAGTTCTCGCTCTAGCAAGGAGTTCTCGCTACAGCAAAATAAGGTGATGGACTGAAGCACCTGAAACATTCTTGCTGTAACAAGGATGTCTAGCTGTAGCGAAAGGTGTAGAAAAACAAAGTGTAAAATTTGTCTGATATTTTTATTGTAGTGAGAGTATTTCTCTATAACGAGAGTGCGGCGATTCTGAGGGTATTTACGAGTTTTCCTGCATAAAAACTCGTTTCTTACTTTCATTCCACATCTCCTTTGAGTTTTCTCTTAAAAATCTCTCTCTCTTACTCAAATTAAAACCCTTTGAATGCCGATTGTTCTTTGAATCAAGGGTTGTACGTTCATTCTAAGCAATTCTAAGTAAGTTTTTCTAAGTTTAATCTTGTTTTTACCATTTATGTCTCTTTGATTCCTATTTCTTAAGGGTAACTCGTGTTATCTAGGGAGAAGTTTGTTTTTGAACGATTTTCATCATCAACGTCTCTCTAGATCTTCATTTTAAGGTAAAGGGGGGTTCTATTTTACCATTATACTATAAGATATATGTTGAGTTCATGAGAACCCTATCTCAGAGTAGTGTATGATGATATGTATGTGTTTGATTAATTATTTTGTGTTTGTGAGATGAGAAAAGCATGATACCTTTGATGAATAATTTCTTTAATGATTTCTGAATATGTTGGATGTAATATTATGATTATTAAAGTGAAATGTTTATGTTGTTATGTTGAGATATGTTGGAAAGAACGATGATGATGTTAGAATGAATATTTTGATTGTTAAAATCATATATTGACGTGATAAGTAATATAGAATTTGTCAAAAAGTGCTTATCAGCACAATATTGTGACTGGACTTGAGATAAATATGACTGGATATGAGTACTAGACAGATCTAGTTTAAATAATTACAGAGATATACTGAGGTATAGAATCCGGAGGCGATATGGATATTTGGGAGAAACATAGGGCGGTGAACAACATTTGTGTAGGTGCACTTATTCTGTTTGAGAGTGAATGCGCCACATGGCCTTACATTCGTTTTTCGACTAAACTCCTAACTATGCCTTTGCTAAGGGGCCCGTTATTGTATACGTTGTATGTGTGTGCATGGACTTACTGGCTGTTATTTACCTAGTTGAATAAGATCTCAAGAACTGCTGGCGGTATCAGATTGACTGTGATCACAATGCACTGAAAAGTACATATTTGGAAAAGAGAACTATGATGCTTTGTGATGAAATATATAATTACACATGTGATAGAATGAGAAAACTTAACTTATGGTGTCATACTATGAATTGATATTTATTCTTTATGAGATTATGATTAAGATATAATAAATGATGTGAAATATTTGTGTTATGTTTGAGTGGTAGAATAGATGTTTACCCTTACACAATATTGTAGGAAATAAAGATGACGACGCCTCAAGGGCAGATTAGGATAGTAAATTATTTTGCAAGAAGTAGATTGAATTATGTATTTAGATAATATTGTACATTTGAATTTTAGAATGTACCTTGAGGATAATCAGGAATATACCTTAGAAATAATCTATAATTATCCAATATCTTTTGATTTTTATGTAAATGATCACATCGATCAAACACTTAGTTTTTATTTGTATCAGGGAATAGAGAGGCCTTTCATGATCATGAATAATGTACTAACTTACCATGATCATGATCTGTTGAGAAGACTTACTCAATTTACTTTTAAGAGATTCTCTAGTATAGAGGTGATAGCAAACTCTGGTAACGCCTACCTTGGGGAAGATGATGAATTGACTGTTGAGGGTTTGATAGAAATTGAGGGTTGACATGATATAGACGACTAGTTTTAGGTCCTCAATATATGGGAATGGGTATAAACTTGTGTAAATTTTAGTATATTTTGAATAATGATTTGTAAATGGAATACATCATGTTGTAACTAAACTTTGGAATATATAAATGCTGATTTACAATATATTTTATGCAGTTTATTTCTTAATTTTTGTCTCATACATGAATTTATTGATGCGAAATATTTTATTTCAGTAAATTTTGATTATTTGTTATATTGAAAGTTTAATTATTCTTCATAATTCTTTATAAACTTGACATATTTGAGATGAATAAATATAGTGTTACAGTAATGATAGTGATTATGACAATAGTAATAAGTGTGATGAATATAATAGGACCATGATTGTAATAGTTATTGATTGATTATAATAATAAGTGAAAATTGTAATATTAGTTAATTATCTGTAACAATAATAAAGATAAAAATAATTATAATGATAGTTATGATAATTATTGTGTAATTTTTTAAAAAAGATAAAAAAGTTGAATGATGTTGACAATAATGATGATAAAAGAGAGGATAATTCAAAATTTTTTAATTGAATATGTTTTAAAATTAAAAATAAGAACTCAAAACCATTCCAAATAGGTCAAAATGTTTAAAAATCTAATTGTTTCAAAACCTTTATCTAAATTTATTTTAAAATAATTATAGCTTATAATAATATTCAAATTATCAAAGTTCAAGTAATCTATCGTGAATTAATTTAATGTGACGAAAAATAGTGAATTAATGTAATAAATTTAGATAGGCCTTTGTACCAAGTGTATCAATCCAAACGTAAATTGAAATAATTTTTCTATAGTTTTCGCATAAAGGTAAAGCCTTATCATGTTGTTTTACGTTAAAAAAGTCGAATTTCAAACATTGTTTCTTCAAATTTTCTTAAGATCCCAGTCTTTCCGGATATCTTCTAGTATTATTCTTTATATTAGTGTAGATGGTACTTCTAATACCTCTTAATTAACAAATAACTGTCTCTGTCGTGAACCCAATGCCCCTTCTAATTTTAATTGTATATTAAAACAAATTCACTTAGTTCTATTATTAATTTTTGGAGAATTAGCGACATACAAGGTTTACAAAAGTTGGCTTCTGAGTTCTGAATAGAATAATAGCAATCATGTATTTTTCTGTCTATTAGCATGCTTAACGCTCAGCTAAAGTCAACTAAGCTTAAGAAAGTATTTTGGCGCATAGCACTAGGATTCAACATGAATTTTGGTAGCAACACGGAATGAACCGCATAAAGAGAACAACATCATATCATATTCAGCACAATGAAGAAATCTTTACATTTATGGCTTTTCTAACTCACATTAATTACTTGTTCATTGTTTTGCTTATATTTTGCAGTTTCTATTTGGGTCTAAGCTCTGTGAATGATACTATAACATCAACCAGATCCATCAGTGACCCTGAGACAATAAGCTCAAACAACAGTGACTTCAAGCTAGGATTCTTCAGCCCTGAAAATTCCACACATCGCTATGTAGCAATCTGGTATCTCTCTGAATCCTACGTTATATGGATAGCCAACAGAGACCAACCACTTAATGATTCATCTGGGGTGTTCAAAATTCACAAGGATGGAAACCTTGTAGTGTTGAATGGTCAAAATCATGTCATATGGTCAACAAATGTGTCAATTAATGGTACCAATTCAAGTGCTCAACTTGATGATTCAGGAAATTTGATCCTGCGTGATGACACAAGTGGAACAACAATATGGGACAGTTTCACACACCCTGCTGATGCTGCAGTCCCCCAAATGAAAATTGCAGCCAATAGGGTGACAGGTAAGAAAATTGAGTATGTGTCAAGGAAAAGTAGTTCTGATCCATCTTCTGGGTACTTCACTGGTAGCCTTGAGCGTTTGGATGCTCCAGAAGTGTTTTTTTGGTATAATAAAACTAGACCATATTGGAGAACTGGTCCATGGAATGGAAGGGTCTTCCTTGGTTCACCAAGGATGTTAACTGAGTATTTATATGGGTGGCGTTTGGATCATGATAATGATGGAACTGTTTATCTAACTTACAGTTTTGCAGACCCTTCTGCCTTTGGAATCCTGTCCTTGACCCCATATGGCACACTTAAATTGGTGAGGTTTTTGAACAAAAAGGAGTTTGTGACACTTGAGGTAGATCAAAATGAATGTGACATTTATGGTAAATGTGGGCCTTTAGGAAAATGTGATAATTCAAGCACACCAATTTGTAGCTGTTTAGAGGGGTTTGAGCCCAGGAATCCTGAGGAATGGAATAGGAAAAATTGGACTAGTGGGTGTGTGAGGAATGTACCATTGAATTGTGAAAAAATGAAAAATGGAAGTGAAGTGCAACAAGATGGGTTTGGGGTGTACTATAATATGAAAGTGCCTGACTTCGCTGAGAGATCAGATGGTAACCAAGACAAATGCGGAACAGATTGCTTAGCAAATTGCTCTTGCTTGGCATATGCATATGATCCTTATATTGGATGCATGTATTGGAGTAGAGACTTGATTGATTTGCAGAAATTTCCATACGGGGGTGTTGATCTCTTCATTCGTGTGCCATCACAACTTCTTGGTATGTTTTCTAGCTCTCCTAATAATATTTTGTTTACACGTTATTGAGTTTACTATACAGAAACCAAAACTTTCATACAAGTGCTAACTAGTATCCTTAAAAGATTACGTTTTTATTAGTGTTATTAATGTGAAGAGTACTAGTTATTTAGACTTAAACTCTTAAAATTATTTTGTCTTTGTTTGCTGATATGCATTGAATAAAATACAGTTACCGGTAAAAAGGGAAGAGAATACAAGGCATTAATCATCGCCATTGCTGGGGCAATTGGAGCATTAACCATAGCTGTCACTGCTTATTTTTTGTGGCGGAAACGTACTACTCCTAAGCATAAAGGTAAAGTTGCCTTATTATCATTTCTTACATAAATTCAAGAACATTCATACTTTTATAGTGCATACTCAATAGGGTAATCAAGAAAGAACAGGGGTAGGGAGGGGATATTGTTAAAATGAAGAACTTTCTAAAGGAGAAAACCAGTGTAATTCTCAAATCAAAAAATGCTTGTACTTTCTTTTTCTTCAATTTTGCAATTTATTCTACATAGAGGCTGTTTATTGTTAGCAAAAGCATTGCATGCCTTTATTAGATTTGAAAATTTAATAACAAAAAATAAAAAATATCATATATTGAATATAACTTCTATCTCTTTTAAAAAGAATTAAGATATGCTCCAAGTCTTTGCCAATAAACATTCTGCTTATAAGTTTATAGAAATAATTTATAAATTATTTCAATAAACATTTTAGTATAATTTATCAAAATAAATTTTTTTATTTTATTCTCATAAGTTTTATTGTTAAACTTATTATACAAGTTATTATTTAAAAATAATTTATTGTATGCCCATTTAAATAAATTATATATTTCAATCCTCCTATGTTATTAGTTGAATAAAAGTAAAATAAAAATGAAAAGAGTGATAGGTGGAAGCAATGTTTGATTTTGATTTTTAATTACTTGTACAGTTTTTTATCAAATAAAATCTTTCACTTTAAATTTTCTTTAATAATTAACAAAAATAATATAATAGAGGTGTAACATATATTATTGATTTTTATAAATTTAAAATTATAAAATATTTTAAAAATAGTAAGTAAATTACAATAAAAGTATTTTTATTTTTATTCAATTATTTACATTTTTTTTCTTTATAAACTTATATAAATCAATGATACATTTTATTTTTGTTATATTTTTATTATTTATTGAGCAATCAAAATTAAAGGGGCTAAAATTACATATAAGTTAAAGCATTAAGACTAAAATTATAAATGAGCTAACAATTATTTTTATTAATTTAACTACAAAAATATGAATAATTATCGTTTATATTAAAAATGAGAGTTTATTATTTAAAAAGTGAAGTACGAAGAAAGTTATTTTCTATTACATTTCGTTACCTAGGATTAAAAGTAACTAAAAATAATTTGTGAGTTATACTTTTACTTACCGCAATGATTTTTCTTTTTACCTACATTTTTATTAATTCTGTTATAAATTTTGAAAATTAAATTTATTTAATTTTTTCTTATTATTTTATATATATTTCTATATTTTCCGTGAATACTCATTTATATATTTATAAAAATTATCTTAATTTTTTTCTATTTATTTATTTTTTTTGTTTTAAATTTGTGTATATATTATAAATGTATTTGACCCAAACAATGTGTGTTTATGTTTACAAATGACAAATACATGCAGGAAGTGAGCCTCAAAACTTGATTACCGAAAACCAAAGACAAATTAAACTAGATGAATTGCCACTATTTGATTTTGAAAAGCTAGCAACTGCTACAAACAACTTTCACTTCGGTAATATGCTTGGCAAGGGAGGTTTTGGTCCAGTATACAAGGTAATTTGATCCAAAAGATATTAGTCATTTTTTATATTATCTACAAAAATTTATATGAAATATTTACTTTCCTAGGGACAATTGGAAGATGGTCAAGAAATTGCTGTAAAAAGACTTTCAAAAGCATCTGGACAAGGATTAGAAGAATTCATGAATGAAGTAGTAGTGATTTCTAAACTTCAACATCGGAATCTTGTAAGACTTCTTGGTTGTTGTGTTGAACGAGATGAACAAATGTTGGTCTATGAGTTTATGCCAAATAAAAGTTTGGATTCGTTTCTCTTTGGTTAGTACTTGTCTCTTTCTAATTACATCAAACTTGTTAACTTAAATTGGAGTATATATGTATGATTTTATTTTGGACAAAATTTAGGTAATTTATATTAGTACTTTTAGTGTTATATTTAAAATGAAAACATAATATTTATAGCAGTTATCACACATTTTATATTTTCATAAATGAACTTTTATATTTATATTTTTTTTCTTAAAAGATATCAATTATTATAATTAACTTCATAAAAAAGTATGCAATTTATATCCAATGCTCTTATAATATTCAATTTTATCATTACTTTATTATTTTTTTTATTAAATTTAGATCCACTGCAAAGGAAAGTTTTAAATTGGAGTAGGCGCTTCAACATTATTGAAGGAATTGCACGAGGTATACTTTATCTTCATAGAGACTCAAGACTAAGGATTATACACAGGGATCTTAAAGCAAGTAACATCTTACTAGATAGTGAGATGAATCCTAAAATATCAGACTTTGGTTTAGCCAGAATTGTTAGAGGTGGTGATGAAGATGAAGCTAACACAAGAAGAGTTGTTGGAACTTAGTAAGTAATCTTTTTTAATTATACACAATTATTTTAGAACATTAAATGATTTAATTGTTACTTATAATATATTATCTAAATGAAGTGGTTATATGCCGCCTGAATATGCAATGGAGGGGCTTTTCTCAGAAAAATCAGATGTTTACAGCTTTGGAGTTTTATTGCTAGAGATTGTGAGTGGACGAAGAAATACAAGCTTTTATAACAATGAGCAATCGCTTAGCCTTGTTGGATTTGTAAGTATACATGTCATGTGTCTGTTCTTTTTAACAAAAGAAATTATTATTATTATTCTTAATAATAAAATTTCATTTTTTTTAGGCATGGAAACTATGGAATGAAGGCAACATTATGTCTTTAATAGATTCAGAGATATGGGATCCAACGTTCGAAAGTAGTATGTTGAAATGCATACACATAGGACTTTTATGTGTGCAAGAACTTACAAGAGAAAGACCAACTATATCCACGGTGGTTTTGATGCTCATTAGTGAAATTACTCACCTTCCTCCTCCAAGGCAAGTTGCATTTGTTCAAAAGCAAAATTATCGAAGTTCAAAGTCTTCTCAAAATAGTCAATCTAGTTCAAATAATAATGTAACGCTCAGTGAAATCCAAGGTAGGTAATAACATGGGATCAGCGTTGCCATTGTAACATTAATTTGCTGTTCTTTAAGTCATGTAATCATAGTCTGTACCTGAGATTTTGTCAATTCGATGAAATTTCTTCCTTTCAGCACTTTTTATGCAATGTGATAGTTTATATAATAGGATTGAAACTGATGAAACATTTACAGAAAAAGGAATGATCAAATGTTGAAATCAATCCATCAAAAAAGAAAACTAAAAGTGATTAAATAGTGAAAGACTAACAAGTATTTATCGGAAGTAACAACCCCATGATAAAAGCAATGGCAAGAATAGAGTAGAATGACATTGAAAGGTAATGAAAATTACAAAACTAGAATCAAAATTAACCATTACAAAAATGCAAAGTTATTATTTCAGTATGCCAACTTTAATTTAGGTGTCAATTTTCGTCTCTATTACTAATAAAAGTTTAATTTGAATGCTCACATTATTACATTACTATCAGTGAGTAAAATTTAAAAACAAAAAAAAAATCTACAAATGAACAAAAATACCCAACACACATAATGAACATTTATATATAGAGAGAGAGTAAAGATCTTGAGTCTTCTTAAAATAGATCAATTAAGAATGTCGGTTGAGTTTATTTTGAAACCAAAAAACTCTTGTCCAAACATTAATATAGTCCCAATAATTATAACCTATTGGGTCAAAAGGTTGAAAAAAAAAATTATATGAATTTAAAATTTTTTGGAGTAAGGATGTTGAGAATTTGTATTGTAGAATGGGTGATAATTGATGAATCTTTTTTATCTTTATAATGCTTAATGGAGATCGAATCTGAATCCATTAGGATAAATTCATAAAAATGTCTGGTTTTGTTCAGGGCATAGGGTCTGAAATTAAAACTAGGAGAAAAAGTTTTTGATATAGCCTTACAGGAATTTTTGTCTCAGAATTCAGGCTCCATCTGTATGATTGAGAAAAATTTTCTTTTATCCACATAATGGTTTGTTTTTTGAGATATTTGTTTGTCTTCTGGGAGGCTAATAGCTTTGCTAGTTTCTCTTGAAAGACTACCTATTTTTTGGGACTGGCTAAAGGATTTGATTATATTATTTAGGCTTGCTAAATCAATCTCCATTTCATCTTCAGAGGCAATGTCTGCCCACGATTTTTTGGGTAAACTATTCAAGCTTCCTTGTTGGACAGTTAAGAGTGTACTCACAGGCAAAGCATAATCGGCTTTATTTTGTTTCTCAGTTTTGGTTTGGGAGGAAGTATCAGCCTTATTGGATGATTCTTTTTTGGGGATCTCAGATTATTGAGTAGATGACTCAACTATCTGGATAGTTTTTTGGGTGGATGACCCAGCCGGAGTGGATGACTCTGAAGAGTTTGAATTAGAATCTGCCAAGACAGATTTGGATTTTGATTTATTAAGAGTCAGAGCAAGTCTGACTCTTCCTGTGTGAGAAGTTCCTCCCCTGGAAGGGGCAGTTGCCTTTCTAGGCATTTCACTTATTCTGTAAAAATTCATGGATTAATCAATTTTAGGTTTACTCACGGATTAATCGCATTTTCTATTGTAATTTATTTGATTGATTTTTATTTTTATTTTTTTTTGCATATTTTTATTATTATTTGATTTGTATAAGGTTTGTTTGTTTCCTCACACACCACTAATCATGCATAATATGAGCGAGGCTCTATACCCGGTTTTGAGTAAACTTTAGGTTTAGAGGAGTTGTGTAGTAATAGTAATTTGGATGAACGTCCTGTTTGTCTAACATGAGAACTTCAGCTAGAGCTTATTTTATCTATATAAGTCCCTTCATCTAGTAGACTACCTACTGATTGAGGATGACTTTATGGAATGAATTAGGTTAAATGATTATTTGATTTAATTCGTAACTCTATTCAATTAAGTTATTCGATTGAATTAATAATCGAATTGAGTGATTGTTTAAATGTGGATTTAAATCTTTAGATAATGTGATAGTCGGAGTTACACGCAATTGGTATTATGTGGATTGATATTTCTTAATTCATTTTTTTACTCACTTTAGTTCTGTTTGTAATTTAATTTGATTAATTGCAATTTTTAAAACCCCAAAAACCTTATTTGCATTTTTTAAAAGAAAACCTAAAATTGCATTTGACTGAAAATGTGTCTCTATGAATCGACATAAGTTTGGCTCTATACAACAAAATTTTTAGAAAACTTAGTTGTTTTGATAGCGACTCAGCAATTATCTATTAAGAGACATTAGCCTTTGTCATATCAGTGATAAACAAAGTAGTTTCACTTTTCTGAGGTTTGAGAAGGACTCTAGATGCATAATAGTTCATGACTTTGTATTGAATCCTGTATAATAAGGCTGCAGGAATAGATCCTCTTTCATAACTAAACCATGAAAGTGAATATTAAGAAACAGAGAATCTAGAATATTTTTATCCATAAGACTCATTGTCTTGTTAGGATAACAGTTGAAATAGACCGAACCTTGGCCAAGACTAGTTTCTACCATTCCTATTAGAGAATCTTCAAACTTATTGTGTCTTACATCTCTAAGACATATTAGGATTGTTGCATCTATATCTATATCTATCAAAGATTTGATGGATACTTGAACACATCCTATATGAAGGTATTTATATTTTCTTTGATGTTCATTGACAGAGTGTTTTGACAGGAGATGAAATTCTTCTCTTATATCTTGTCCTAGGACAATGTTGTTTTCAACAGTCTTGATAATGTAATCAGAACTGCTTCTTTTAGTTTGTTCTTCAGGAACATATAATGTATATCATGAGGGATTTTTAGAATAGTCCAATCATTCATACTTTGTTTGATCTCTTCAAAGCGAACTTCTTCATTAAAGAGATTATGTTTTGGTGTGATTTCAGGAGACTGTTTCTCTTGGTCATGGAGTAATATATTTTTTGAGGGAGAGGAGGAAGATGAGCTAAAGCTAGAGCGAAGAGATATGCAAAAAAAAGAATGGAGAAGTTTAGACATCATAAAGTAAACCTCTAGTTCATCACCCTCATTTGGTTCCATAAAAATATATATGCTAGATTATTTATAACTTTTTCTTTTAGATCTGGTTATTTATGGACTTTTTTTTTTACAGCAATAGAAACATCTTTAATATAGCCACTAGTCTCTTATGTTCTTTAATTTCTTTTAAATACAGCATCGTCAAATCAGCCTGTCCTTTATCCACATGGATCTTACTGTTGCAGTCCTATTCAAAAGAATTAAGAACTGTACAGTAAACTTAAAATCCAGATCCAAATGATCATAGTTATAAACAATCCACAGTTATATATATATATATATATATATAACATGAGGACCTAAGATTACTCAACTTGTTTTATGGATACAACTATCATTCTTAATTATTGAGATATTTGTTATTTAATACATACTTTAAGTGACACGTGGTCACAACATGGAACTTGATTTTTCCTCCACCTGATAGACAATAGTTTATAAAAATACATGTCATAGTCTTATTACTAATAATTACTCATGAGATTCCATTTTCCTCATTTACTCATAGTTGAAACCTTTAGAAAATTATGATATTAGTAAGTACTACTTGAATAATATAGTCATATCATGTATTGACGTAACCATGCAAGTGGACTCCAATCCTTTTCACTTGCTCATGAGCCAATTACTAATAATATGAGATACAACATGTGATTTATCGCTTCAACTAGAACTCTCTTAGGGGGAGGGTACACTCAATGTGCAACCAAGAACCCAAAGAATTCACATTCATTTCCTGCATGCATTGAAGAACCAATTTTTTGTCTATTTAATTTCATTTAAATTAAAATCAGAAGATAACTAATAACATAAATCTGGTCATATAGATAAATCCCATAAAAGTAATCACGAATTATCTAAGAGTCTTAAAAAAAGAAATCGACAACTATCAGAGTGTCAAAACAAAGTACATTACACTTAAGTTACCAAAATAAAACATAAAGCATCTAATCCTTCACCATACAGCAAAAGGAATCTTCTAGCTAGCAGCGAACAATAAAAGAAGCAACTAAACAACAATCAAGACTCTTTAGAAGGATCCTCCTCCATCTCATTAGTGCTTGTGAAGTCCTCCTCAAATTCCACCTCAATGTGGAGAAAAAGACAGGAAAAAGACATCCTCAAAGTCTTCAACAATTAAAAGGAAGTATCAACACCACAATACATTGCAACAAGGAAAGAATGAATAAGATATATTTCCTAGTAAATAATTATTCAAAAAAGAAACAAAACAAAGTAAGTACGAGCATATGTTACATAAAAACGATGGTAACTTTTACAATCTAATAAAATGCAAGTTTAATTAAATGATGCATGATCCGTGCAAATGATAACTCTTGGTTTGGCAAAAATCTCATTTTCATGCTTATGCGACTCTAGATCCATAATAATCCTATTGTTCGGAAATTGTTGTGAATTTCACTAGTCAGCCTACATTTCACATGTATGGTAGTGACTCGAGCCTCCACTACCCATTCTAGCTCAACCAACATGATAAGCCTCAAGAGAATACCAGGATAAAAGAGTATCCCGTGGAGACTTCCAACCAAAATTTCAGGGCCTAGGACATTCATAGGGCCTAGGAGAATTTCATCACACATTTTCTCACCCTCAAAGAGGCTCAAGTTCACAAATGTTGTGCACTTAGCCTGTATACGCCTATGCATATTCTTACTGCTTTACACAATCAACACATGTGTCAAACCATATATTTTCAAAGAGCACTATACACAAGGAACAATTGATTTAGTACAAGTCATTGACAATCATAAAAAAGTTAGGATTATGATTAATCTAAAAGTAAAGATAAAGAAGTGTAAAGGTGAACTTATATGTTCTATAATTCATTTTGATTAGTTTATTATCGTAAATTGTACTATTTTATTTCATTTGAAATATTTTTATATCTAAATTATATTTTATTTTATTACGCATTCTTTTAGTTCAAACAATTAATTAAGATATTTTTAAT